ATTTTAAAAATAGAAAATACTTTTATAGTGAGCAGTTGTATTTTTAGCATATATGATATTGGAAGGATTTTAGAATGATTAGATACTAAGATAAAGTTAAAGTATTTAGAAATGCTAATAATGAAGACGCCTTGAACATCAATCCATACTAACTTCTCTATGTATTCTAAGAATAAGTAAAAATACTGAAATTATCATCAGTATTAATTTTGAGAATATGTTTAATTAATACAAATACAAGTTATGTTTTCACTAATCAAGTATATTATTGGTACAATAAATTGATATTGAAATTATAAAAAATAGAAATTTGGACTAACGAACTTCTTACAATGATGATATATAAATTTCAAATTGAATAAATTCAATATCTTTTCAGCTGAATTTTGAAAGGTCTTTGAAATCCTATATTGTTTCCTAAAAATTGCTAGGAATTATCAGATTTCTTTTTTTCTTGTTATAATTATTAATCCTTTAAAAATAGCTAACCTTCTAATTGTGAAATACTTTTGATATATGATTTCGATTATTCCTCTAATTATTTTATTTGTTAATCTTTTTAATTGAGTTAATTATTTAATTACCTCAAACAATCATCCTTTTATTCTAATTATTCCTAGAAAGGTTTGAATTGCTTATTTGATTTTATTGAATTCTCTAACTTTTTTAATTGAGAATCCTTTGAATATAGTTAACTTTCTAATTATTTTAGTTAATTATCCTTCTATTTTAATTGTCCCTCTAATTATTTTAATTGACTATCTTATTGTTTAAATTGTTCCTCTAATTATTTTATTTGATTATTCTTTGATTTTAGTAAGTTTTCTGATTGTTTTAATTGATTATCCTTTGTTTATAGTTAACTTTCTAATTATTTTAATTGTTCATCCTTTTATTTTAATAATCCTTCTAATTATTTTATTTGATTCTCCTTTGATTTTAGTTAATTCTCTAATTATTATTATTAATTATCCTTTGCTTTTAATTAATTTTCTTTCATCGGTATCTTTATAACTATAAATTAATATAATTAATACTTTATTTTTCTTATTCCTCAATTTAATGTCTTAGACTTAATATTTCAGTTTTTATAATTGGATGTGTTGTTTACATATAGTCTTCTAATGAATTATTTTTTTTATCCTTCTTACTCTATAATTCATTAATCAAACAAAATAATTTTAATTCAAACTCTTTCAAAATTTAATCATTCTCTTCATTCCATTTATTAAATCCTGTTTATAATAATTCTAAAAATTATTCCTAGTTTTATGGACTGCTAATGTCTTTTGCTATTTTAATTAAATCCTAAACACTGACCTCATCTATTCGAACATTTTTTGGGATTTGAAAAGTATCTTTAATTTATTGTATTTAATTTTTAGTTTTTTAGTTGATTTTCATTGATATTGATTAAGCTAATAGAAACATTTTTTGTTTGCATTCTTCAAGAAAATTAGTTAATTCTAAAGCTTTATCTTATGTTTTTCTTACATAATTATTTAAATTATTTTTTTTTAATGTTACCCATTAGTTCCATTTTTTTTCAGCATCTTATAAAGTTTCGTATTTGGCTGGATGGTCGATTAGACAATTTAGGCATGCCACTCTATCCATCTTATCTGGTTATTCCTGTAAATCTAATAACATTATTTATTAATTTGGATGCTCTAAACAATACTACAGTTGTTTTTCTCTTAAGGGAAGAACTATTTATTGTAAATGCGAGGAGTTTTTCTCAATTATTTCATATGAATAAGTCTTAAAGTCATTTTAAATCTTAACTAATATTTCTCTAGATTTTTAAATAAATTGATCTTTAGAAACAAGTATGATATTTTAAACAAAATTTTCTAAAACTCTTTAATAATCTTAAATTTTTATTTTCATATCACCAAATTATTTTACTAATGAATCTATATCTAAGTTCTTTAAATTTTCAAGTAATTGTGTTATTTTTATTTATTAATCTTAGATCATTTATATTTATTTTTGAAAGCATTCCAAATATTTGTCAATAGATATTTAAATTTAATTCCTCAAAGATAAAAAATTCTATTAAATACTTTCCAACAATTAGCATATAATTTGTTTATATAACTATTAATTATTACCGAAAGTCTTCTACACTCATCAGACTCTTTTATTTTTCAACACATTGAAAGCAAAGATATCTAAATTCAGAATTGGATTATGTGTAAAATACGAATATGGCAATTTCATTATGTAGAGTGCAAATCTGAGACTAATTTGTTTAAATTGAATAGTGCATATTATTCTAATTAAAATAAATTACATATATTTTAATAAGAGTGTTTGGGTTATAAATTTATTTCAGCAGTTAGATAATGTTGAATGTTCAAACAATGGGTTGGGGTTGGCCCACTAGTAGGTTAAATTCAGCAGTCACATTATATTATGTTGAATTCTCTACACAGGGTTGGGTTTGGGTTTGGGTTTGGGTTTGGGTTTGGGTTT